GTAGACCAGGCTGGCCTCTACAGAGATCGTCCACCTCTTCCCCCCATAGATTTTATTTTTATTTACATGGGTGTTTATGAGCAAGAATAGGCATGCATATGTATATGTTTGCCTCCAGGGGCAACAGAGATTGGATTCCTGGGAGCCAAAGTTACTGGCAGCGGTGAGCTACCGGAATTCCTGAGATCTGAACCTTGTCCTCTGGAAGAGAAGAAAGCATTCCTAACACCTGGGCTATCTCTCCAGTAGCAACTCCACCCCCGATGCTTTGTTTCTTTGAGATTGGATCTTACTTTGTAGTCCCGGCTTGGAAGTTCCTGTAGACCAACCAGGCTTGCTTTGAAATCAGAGATCTTCCTGCCTCTGCCTCCCAAGTGCTTGAACTAAAGGTGTGTTCCCAAACACCTGATTTCCCTTTTTCAAACACCTGGTTTCCCTTTTTCACTTACTTGTTTGTTTGTTTGTTTGTTTGTCTAGTAAGACTAAGAACTCAGAAGAGGGAACTGCAATTACTCAAGTAACAATTTAAACCAAGGATAACTAAAGGAGTCAGTGGAGACTGACCTCACAAAGCCTAGCTTTATATTGAAGGATAATTTTAACTAACACTCATTTCTAAAGAACTGTGAAGGAGCAGAAGGATGATAAGGGCCTTTTAAGTGGTACTCCCTCCATAGGTATGGAGATGTACAGTAAGTTGTTCTCACTTGTGGCTGCAGGACTGGAGTTTCTAGAACAGTGGCTCTCAACCTTTCTAATGCTGTGATTCTTTAATATAGTTCCTCATGTTGTGGTGACCCCCCAACCATAAAATTACTTATTGCTACTTCATAACTGTCATTTTGCTACTATCATGAATTTGTAATGTATCTGGTAAGCAGGCTATCTGATCTATGACCTGCAAGGGGGTCGTGACCCAAAGGCTGAGAACCACTCTTCTAGAATGGAAGGATTCTGGACTATGTGAAGACCTGCCTGTTGGTATTGTACATTTGGCTCAGCTGGCCTTTTCCGCCATCCTGTGGACAAAAGGAAGGTCAGTCATGCAGCCTATTTGTGCCTCAGATCCTCAGCTTTCACAGAAAGGAGATGATTCCCCCTCCCCACCCCCTACTCCCATCCCTTTAGAAGGGCCCTAGCAGAATTCTCTCCTTGGGAATGTCCCCCTGGCAGCTGAAACAAAGAGCTGACTTCTCAGGGCCAGTCAGTCTTAATTTTCGAGCAAGTACTTGTTGAAAAAGTACTGAGTCAATATTCATCCACAAATGGACGATTAAAACACAATAAAATGTTATAAGAGCTTAGCATTTGCTTGAAAATATTTGGCATTTGATTAAAGTCTAGTTATTTATCCATTCATTCATTCATTCATTCATTTATTTTGTTTTGTTGAGACAGTGTCTCTCTATATGGCCTTGACTGTCCTGGAATTCATTATATATACCAAGTTGGCCTCGGACTCAGAGAGATCTGCCTACATCTGCTGTTACAGTGCTGGGATTAAAGGTGTGTGCCTATACAGGACGACAAGACTTAAACATATCTGCTGCCTTGACAGATCAAGATAAGGTAGTGTTGAGGACTGAAAACAGCTGAGTGTCTATGTGGGGTAAAGTTATATTTTAAGTTTTAATTACTGTGCTTAAAAGTTCTATAAAATGCCGGGCGGTGGTGGCGCACACCTTTAATCCCAGCACTTGGGAGGCAGAGGCAGGCGGATTTCTGAGTTCGAGAGTTCGAGGCTAGCCTGGTCTACAGAGTGAGTTCCAGGACAGCCAGGACTACACAGAGAAACCCTGTCTCGAAAAACCAAAAAAAAAAAGAGTTCTATAAAACAAAAATGCCTCTAACCTGTAAGCCCCACTTGCCCAAGGACACATAAGTTTCTGGATTGCTAGAGGCTGTTCAATACAAGCCACGTGTTTTCACTTTTGTAGATGAGGTTGGTTGCCCCAACGTGCACAGGATGTACTTGATCACACATAGGCAGGAGATATATAGTCAGGAAGTATAGTATGGTATATACTTGCCCTGATTAAATGAAGGCAGGAAGTACATGTCCTCGTGGGTTTTACCTTTATAAACCTCTGACTAATGTAATTTGGTGCCATACTCTGGGCATTCTGGATATGAACCCAGCCAGTGTCCACCATCCTGGCCAGTATTTAATAAAGCATGCTTCAAATCTGGCTCAAAAAATAATGGTAGTAGTCTTTTTCTCACCTGATGGGAATAACAGAAAACACTAAAAAAAAGAGTCATTTTGTTTTTTGGGTTTTTGTTTTGTTTTGTTTTTAAGGAATTAAAAATTACCCCTCAAGGAGAGGCTGGGCTCCCTCTTCATGTGTGCTTGCTGTATGGGTGTGCTTCCTCATCCCTAATAAAGGCCTTTCTTGGCAGACTGGTGCTGTCTGCTCATGTCTGCTGTGTTTGAGATGCTCCCTGCGGCTACTATAGTACTGGAGATTTTTCCTGCCTTTTAATTCTTTAACTGGAGAGGAAACAAAGCTTGTTTCAAAATTGGCTCCAAAATTGTGGTGATGGTTGTATTCTCCCTGGTGGTATCCTGAGGAGCTGGTGTGCATGCAATCCCAGTGCTCAGGAGACTGAAGTATGGGAATCAAGAGCCTGAGGCCAGACAGAAAGGAACCCAGAATGAAGTCTGTCACAAAACACTAAAGAACAAAGAAGGAAAAAAAATGGACATGGATACTTGTTCTGAAGTCAAAACAAAGCCAGGTGTGGTGGCACTCACCTCAATCCCAGCATTCAAGAGGCAAAGGCTGGCAGATCTGTGAGTTCAGAGCCAGCCTAGTAGAGTTCCGGCCTAGACAGGGCTATAAAGTGAGGACCTGGTTCCTTAAAATAAAGACAAAATTAAACATACATGCACATGAAATTTTAAAACAATAACAGATACACACACAGAGAAAAACAAAAAAAGCAGAAAATTAAGAGTACGATTTAAAAATGATGTACATGCACACCTTTGATCCACCCAGAGGACAGAAAACAGTCCAATCTCTGAGTTCAGCCTAGTCTACAAAGTGAGTTTCAGGTTACCCAGAGTTACCCAGGGAAACCCAGTGTCAAAAAGCCAGTAAGAAGAAGGGAGGCTCTTCAGACTGCCTGAGGTAAACTGTGAAAGTTCAAGGAGGTAGTCTGTGGAGGGTAAGCTCAGAGTCACCTCGTCGGAGAGTGTTTCAGGGAGACTCAGATGTCATGGAGGTTCAGAATTCCAGGTAGAAGAAGGCAAGCTCTGCAGGGGGGGTGATTGTCAAGCCCAGCTGGATCAACACTGAAAGGATTTACTTATTTTATGTGTATGCATCTGTGGAGACCAGAAGCGGGCATCAGATGCCCTGGAAATGGATTTGCCTTAGCAGCAAGCAAGTTCCTTGAGCCATCTTTCTCTAGAATCTGGATTAACCCTTTGAAAAGGAGGAAAGGATACATTTCTCAGCTGGGCAGTGATGGCACACACACACACACATACACACACACACTCACTCTCAGCTAGGACTACACAGAGAAACCCAGTCTCAAAAAACAAAACACAGCCAGGCAGTGGTGGCACACACTTTTAATCCCAGAACTTGGGAGGCAGAGGCAGGCGGATTTCTGAGTTCGAGGCCAGCCTGGTCTACAGAGTGAGTTCCAGGACAGCCAGGGCTACACAGAGAAACCCTGTCTGGAAAAACAAACAAACAAAAAAAAAACCCACAAAAACAAAACAACAAAGAATATCAACTCCCCACCTAGACTTGGAATTTAGATGGCAGTCCCCAACCTCGAAGCTAAAAAGAGGAAGCATTGTCTTAATGGGCCTCAATGCAGATCAGAAATCCCTACCTTCCAATCCTAAAAAGTAGCTGACTTGAAGTTCACCCTTCCAGAGCTACCAGTCTGGATCTCTGCGTGAGTCACGGCCCAGTGTTCCACAGGCCTTGGAACAATCAAGAAATCAGGTCAGTGATCACTCAGAATTCACTTGATATTCATTGTGGCATGCTCCTGCAGTGGAGCTCTTCTGGAGAGCAAGGTAGAAGAACTTGGCAGTCCCTAGCCAAGGCTTGAACAGGTCACTTGTGGTGTCTTATATTTCCACCTCTATGGCCCTTCCATCCTGGTCAATACAAGATAAAACCAGTTTGTGCAAACCTGATCAACCAATCCAGGCACTTTGGAAAGAATTACCTGCAAGCAACACAGTAAGTTTGATTTGACACTATTTTTAGTCTTGGAGACACCCATTTTCACTGGCTGAAAAATATTTTCATTTTTGACTTTTCATACAATATATTGGTCATATTCTTTCCTCTCTACCAGCTCCTCCCAGATCCCACCTGCCAACCAACTTCATATATTGTCTCTGTCTTGTTTTTTTGTTTTGTTTTGTTTTTTGAGACAAGGTTCCTCTGTATAGCCCTGGCTGTCCTGGAACTCACTCTGTAGACCAGGCTGGCCTCGAACTCAGAAATTTGCCTGCCTCTGCCTCCCAAGTGCTGGGATTAGAGGCGTGTGCCACCACCGCCCGGCTGTCTGTTTTTATTTAAGAAATTTAAAAAAAAAAAAAAGCGGGTGTACACACACACACACACAAAAAGCGGGTGTATACACACACACACACACACACACACACACAGACTTCCACTACCACCACCACCAAAATCCCAGAGTCCTTTTTGTGTTGGCCAACTATCTCTGAGCATTAAGTTTGCCATGGGCGTGGCATACCCAGGGCTAGCCTGTGGAAAAAGCGTCTTTTTTTTAACAGCCAATCAAAATGGACGCTTTCATTGTCGCAAACGTGTTGGGCGGGACTTTTAGCGTTGCCGCCAAAAGACTCCCCTCAACGTTCCTGGTTGAGTCTCCAGTTCCACAGAATACGGGTTATCACATAGAGTAGTCCATGATAGGAAGTAGCCCAAGGAGCAGAGTCTTGTCCTCTGGTACCAAAGTCTGTCTGAAGTCTGAGGTATCCTTGTGTGACCCGCTGCATGTCTGGTTCCAAGACGCCCCCAGCGTCCCTGTCCCCTACCAACCCGCAGAGCATGATGGCAGCCGCTGAGGCAGGACCCCAGACTCAGGTAAGTGCCTCGTGGTCCCGGGCCTACCTGAAGGCAAGAGCGCTGGGAGGGTGCCCTGGGGTCATAAGCCTGCGGGGCAGGGCAAGGCCGGGCAGGATCCTAGACTGTGTGGTACCGGAGCTCTGCCTCGGACTACTAGATTCTCCTTTCTGACAATCTGTGCTGGAAGTCTGGCGGACTCATGTAGACGGAGCTCTGAGACTTACCGAATCTCCGAGGTGACTCCTGCTTTACTAAATGGGAAAGGGCTCAGCGCACTTGCTGAGTTCGGTTTGTAAAGATGTCACTGGCAGCCGGGCGGCGGTGGCGCACGCCTTTAATCCCAGCACTTGGGAGGCAGAGGCAGGCGGATTTCTGAGTTCGAGGCCAGCCTGATCTACAGAGTGAGTTCCAGGACAGCCAGGGCTACACAGAGAGGCCCTGTCTCGAAAAAACAAAAACAAACAAACAAACAAGTCACTGGCTACAGATAACAGATACAGATAACTTTGGATCTACTTCTCAAAGGTTCAACCCTCCTGGATGAAGCGAGTGTTGTGACAAGGAGAGACCTGTGTGCAAATGCAGGGGCTGGTGTGGTGGGCTACAGAGATGGAGAGAAAAGATCAGATTTTTCTTTCTTTCTTTCTTTGGGTTTTTTTTTTTTTTTTTTGGTTTTTGGTTTGGTTTTTGTTATGGTGAAAAAAAAGTGTCTATTTAGAATTAGCCTACTGGACTCAGTTTAGATGGTCCCAATCATGTTGGCACTATCCAGAGCATCATTATCAGGAGCCAATCGAGCATAAGCCTTCTGTCTGTCAGGCCTTATCAACGTCCTAGAGTTTCGTCACGGCCTGGTTGATCTGATATTTGTTGGCCTTGACATCCACAATGAACACAAGCCTGTTGTTGTCCTCTGTTTTCTTCATGGCTGACTCCGTGGTCAGTGAGAATTTAATGATAGCATAGTGGTCAAGCTTGTTTCTCCCGGGTGCAGTCTTCCGAGACTATTTAGAGCCGCAGGGTCAGGCCGCCGAAGGTGCGGATCTTTTTGTGCCTGTGGAGGCCTTAAGGCCTTCTTAGCTTTCAAGGCCTTCGCTTAGGCTTCGGCTTTGGGAGGGGCAGGAGCTTCCTTCCCTTTCGGTGCCATTTTGGTGAAAAGGGCCAGATCAGATTTCATGACGGAAAATCTGCCAAGGATTTTACACTGTCAGGACATTCTCTTGGGCCAAACGCAGTAAATAAAGATAAAAGGACTATTCAAGCTTTTCTGGTCATTTTTTTTTCTTCTGACCATTGGGAAGGATGGCAGTTTGAGAGTTTGTACTGCAGCTGCTTCACAGATTGAGATGTTTGTCCTTGGTGAAGCTAGAGTATCAGAATTAGAGTGTCGGAAGGCAGCTTGCTCATTCACTTCCGCAGTTCTGGGCAAGGGTGTGAGCTGAGGATAAATAAGGGAGGTTACTGGACACCAGTACCAACAGAAAGCCTGGGAGAATATTAGAGTTCCATTAGACGGGTGTGGTGCTGTACACCTTTAATCCCGGCCCTTGGAAGGCAGAGGCAGGAGGCTCACTGTTTGAAGCAGCCAGGGCTATGCAGACAGACCTTGTCTCTGAAAAACAAAACAAACAAAAAGTGGGATCTGAGGAGATAGACGGACCTGGGGTTGGGAATGCTTCCATTGGGTCGAGTTATGTTCAGGGTTTGAAGTTTATCATTAAAGAGTAGGATTCTGAACTGTCGAATTTATTAAATAAAAAGGTATTAATTTCAAAAGGCCAAGATCTATACCCAAACGGTGGCAATAAAAACAGCATTGCTGGGCTTCGTCCCCCAGACCTTTAATCTCACTACTCCAATCCCAGAGGCAGGCTGACCTCTTCGAGTCAAGGATAGCCGTGTGTGCATAATGAGAGTGTCTCAATGGATATCTATTCTATGATACACACACACACACTTTTGTGGATATAACATTATTAAAAAGCACCTAACAATTGCTTAAAACCATATTCAGTGTTTGATTAAAGCCTAATGTGTTGATTATCACGTTTGTTTGTGACCCCTACCCCTGAGACAAGATCACTTTGTATGTCGCCCTGGCTCATCCAAAACTCCCTATGTGGACCAGGCTGGCCTCTTAATTTACAGTCTCACCTGTCTCAGCTTCTTGAGTGCTAGGATTAAAGGCTGCGCCACTATGCCTGCTGTAAGTCTTCAGTAAATACAGTAAATACATATATATAAATAAAGTGATATATTTTGAGAGCATATATAAGTGTTTATACTGACAGTTGTTTGGTTGTTTGGTTGTTTGTTTTGAGACAGAGTTGCACTATGAAGCCCTGGCTGGCCTGGAACTCACTGTGTAGACAAGGCTGGCCTCAGATTCACCTGCCTCTGCCTCCCAAGTTGAGATTAAAGGCATACGTCACCACACATTGTGCTAAAACATTTCAGAAAAATGAATTATGTGTATAGGAAGCACCTTTCTTTAGTAGTTCACACATTAAACTGAGTATAACATAATATTCATACATGCATGGGTATCTTTTTTTTTTTTTGACTTGATTTTACTACGTAGCCCGACTGGCTTTGAACTCACTACTCACTGTGATTAGCAGGCTGCCCTCAGAGTCAAAGATATGCCTGCCTATTCCTTCTCAATGCTGGAATTAAAGATGTACACCTCCTCACCATACAACATGGGTAACATTCTTCTCCTTGTATTCTAATAGACAAGACTGAGAATATTGCTTCCTTGCCCAAGAGGACACAGGAAGAGATCTCCTTGAGGACTAGGATGCAGGTGGCAGTTGGGTATACCTTACTATAAATATGAGAGAGGGCTTAGGTGAGCCTTGGGGATACCAACACCATAGCTTGTTACTCAGAGCTTTATTTCACAGATTCCTCTTGGTTCCATGACACCTACCAGTGAAGAAGGGGTAAGTGGACAGTACCCCATGACTTGTTTCATGCCCATGTTAGTGGTCTCCAAGATTGTAATGCCTTGGGACTCTGCTTGCCACTCTATTTTTTATATATTAGCCAGGGAAGATGATTACTGAAAATAAGGTCCCTGAGTCCAGGACAGGGATTATATGGAGAGGTCCTGTCTTAGAGCTTCTATTGCTACAGTGAAACACTATGACCAGAATAGGAGTTGGGGAAGAAAGGGTTTATTTGGCTTTTACTTTCATTTTGCTATTTAAAGGAAGTCAAGACAGGAACTCCGACAAGACAGGAACCTCGAGGCAGGAGCTGAAGCAGAGGCCATGGCATGGTGCTGTTTACTGGCTTACTTCCCCTCTCTTGCTCGGCCTGCTTCCTTATATATAGAACCTAGGACTGGCAGTTGAGGGATGGAACCACCCAGGTTTTCAGGGCCCTCTCTCATCAATCCCTCTGTCATGCCTTACAGCTGAATCTTATGGAGCCGTCTTCTCAATTGAGATTCCTTTCTTTCACAGAAAGGAATTCCTTTGTTTTTTTTTTTTTTTTTTATCAAGGTGACATAAGACTAAGCAGTAGGTTTCCACTATGGCAGCACTGTCTTACAATTCAGAGGCATTGAAGTTCCAGTGATGACCATTACAGAAAGCCTGGAACTGAGATGGATTGACAATGCTCAGAAATCCTCAGGTGTGCATGCTCTTTGTTGGAGTTAGGGAGTACGTCGCTCAGTAGCTAAGCACCTGGACTTGAATGCTAAGTAGAAATACAGGTAGAGTGAAGAAAGTAAAAATGTATAGTGAGAGTGTGCATACATGGCCACCAAGCCCATGTGCCTTTGCAACGTGGAGTGGCACAAATGGTCACATGTGATAAGATCATCTATAGAAGCCCATGTGAATTATTTGGTAGAAACAAGGGGCTTTAAATGTTGGGATACAAGAATAGATGGACTTCTTCTGTCCACCTACCTGCTGTGTTAGGTCGTTGAACACAGTGGTCAGAGAAACCTTGAGAGATTGGATTTCAGTAGCTTCAGAGCTTAGTGCTGTCTGAGGAAGTAAGCTAAGTGGGGATGGCTGTCTTGGAGATGACTGGAGTGCCACAGGAGGTGGCTTCCTGTGAACTCAGATATCCTCATCGTGGCAGGACCGGGTGGAATTTAAGGACGTGGCTGTCAACTTCTCGGAAGAAGAATGGACACTTCTTGATGACTCTCAGAGGCTCCTGTACTGCAGTGTGATGATGGAGATCTTTGACCTCATGGCGTCATTGGGTAAGAGCATCCCATCTTGTCAGGACAAGTCTGTGATGGGTGTAGCTTCTTTTCTACAGAGGGATGTGTTTTCTCAAAGCTGTGCCATGTTCAGTGAATCATTTCCAAACCATCCTGGAGTACAGTATGCTGGTGATGATCCTAGGCTTAAAACAATTCTCTCTCTCTCTCTCTCTCTCTCACACACACACACCCACACACACACACGTACATAGAAAGCAGTATGAGATAAGTAGCCATATAGTGAACATAATAGAGGTCAACTTAATGGCTCTCGTGGGCCGGTGACACTGTGACTACATGACATCCTTGTTTTCGTCCTCTAAGTGGCATGCATTGGGTATGCCTGTGGCAGTAATTTTTGCATTGTGTGATCGTCGTTTGATGGGGTTTCCCCATAAGACACTCCTCTAAGGACCATTCTTACTAGTTTTCTTTCCTATGGATCACCATGCTTTACATCACTGGTTTTAGTATGCAGTGTTCACTTGTCCTGTTTTTGACTTCAGACCTCATACCTGCTGGGGTCCGTGACATCACTCAGCTGGAGTCTTCAGGAGGTCCCTTCACCCCTACACTGAGATTCAAGGCTCCAGGTATGTAGGACGGGTACTTGGAGGGTGTTACTGTTGTATGTTCTCTGGAGAGGTTCATATGAAGTATATTTCTACTGGCTCTGATGGTTTGGTGCCAAGGCAGAGGATGATGGCAGATTCCATCTCTGGTTTCCCTGTTATTCTGAACCAAAGCTGTTCTTCATGTACCAATCTTTCCTCTTTGCACCGCTGAAGCACAGTGTTTCCTTTATTGTGCCATTAGTGTGTGGTGTGTCCTGAGCATCCTTAAGCATAGGTTCTTTGGTTACCATGTCTTATGGAGGTAGACAGCCTTCTGTACCTTGTCCTGTATCTCCAGCAGGGGAAGCTTGTGGAAAGCCATTTGCTGAGGAGTGTGCTATGGTCTACCCCACCCCTCCCTGTACTCTCCTTCTGGTTTGTGTTCTTACTGCCCCTAAGGTCCCTAGAGACTATAAGCTTCACAATTTCAACATGGTAATGGGCCCTTACGACCCCAACGTAGCCCCTTGTTCTGTGAAGAGTCAGAACACTGTTAGCAATATGTGCTGTCTGTCACCCCAGAGCTTCCGTGCCGTTCACGAGTATTTCTCTGTGTTCAGGATGTTCGAACAGAGAGATGTTACCCATTGAGCGGAGCACTTCTCCTCAGGAAGGAATTGGTGCAACCATGCTTGTTCGGCAGAAGCAGACACGTGCTAAGAAACCCCTAGAAAGGAAACAGGTAAGGATTCCAGCTATGAAGACAGGCAGAAGTGACCTTCCAGAGAAGACATCACAAAGCACAGACCATGTGATGGATTTCCAGGATTCCTCAAGTCTTCTTGGGTCTCAGGTGACTCCCAGCACTGGGCAGCCAAACAGAAGCTCTGAGAACGCAGAGTCCATTCAGTCCGACAATGGAAACCACAAATGCAGTGACTGTGGCAAAATTTTTAGTCATAAGTTCGGGCTTATCCGACACCAGAGAATACACACTGGAGAAAGGCCCTTTACGTGCCATGAGTGTGGGAGATCCTTCCGGCAAAATGCCCATCTCATTGTGCACTTGAGAATCCACACTGGCGAAAAGCGTTTTAAATGCAGCGAATGTGGAAAAGCTTTCAATTATAAAAGCTCTCTCACTCACCATCTGAACGCCCACAATGGAGAAATGCCTTATAAGTGTAGCAAGTGTGGGAAATTATACAGGAACAAGTCCAGCTTGGTGTGCCATTATCGAGTCCACACTGGGGAAAAGCCCTTTGAGTGCACTGTATGTGGAGAATCATTTAGGAACAGAGACAGCCTTGCAAGTCATTATCGATTTCATACTGGTGAAAGGCCCTATACGTGCTTTCAATGTGGGAAATCATTTAAAGAAAAATCCAGCCTTTTTTATCACAGCCGTGCGCACAATGGGGACAGGCCTTTCCAGTGTAGCGAATGTGGAAAATGTTTCATCCAAAACTCTCACCTCGTGAAACACCAAAAAGTGCATAGCAAGCCTTTCATGTGCAGTGAGTGTGGGAGCGTCTTCACTTCAGGTTACAGCCTCATTAGACATAAGAGGGTTCATGACACAAGAAAGCAATACGAGTGCACGGAATGTGACAAAGTGTATTGCCATAGCTCTGGCCTCTATAAACATCGCAAGGTTCACAGCAGATAGGTGGCCACCGAGAGCAAAAAATGTTCAAAGTCCCTTAATCATCTAATTCAAACACCTGAAAATTCACTGGGGGGGGGGGGGGGGGACGACGAACATTTCAAATGTGGAGGCCATGGTGAGATCCTTGTCAGAGAAGCTTCTTGCTGATAATTAACTCAGCCACAGCTGAACAGTGTGCAGAGAGTGAGCAACTTTAGAACACTCAGCCCTAAATACTGTGTCTTCTTCAAACCCTCCCCTCAAGGCTCAGAGGGAGAAAAGGCAGAAAAATTGTATAAGCCAGAGGTGCTGGATGACTCCCAGGAAAGAGTAAGGTCTGTTAACACACATCAGGACTGCTAGAAACGAAAGTCACAGAGACTGGCAGCACAGACAAGACACGTTCAAACCAGACAAAATTCTAGTACTGAGAGGGAAAGTGCACACAAAATCCCCCTTCTAACCAAGAAGCAGTTGATTACCCAAGTTTTCTTCAGTGACCTATCGCTGGGTATATGAACCACACTCTTGGAGAGGCCCTATGCCCAGGAGTAGCTGACCAGTGGATTGGTTTTGTTGTTTAGTTTTAGTATTTTGTTTTTCGGAGAAAGTAAAACCATTAAGTTGAATGGGTAGGGAGGTGAGGAGTCTGGGAAAAGTGGGGAAGGGAAAGAATATGATCAAACTACACTGTATGAAAAATGTTTAAATAAAAAAGACACATTGTTTGCATATATGAAATTTCCAAGGAATTAATTTAAAAGGTGTGTTTATTTACTACATGTCTGAGCTTTTGCCTGTGCGTGTGTATGGACATCCAGTGTATGCCTGGATGGTGCTGAAGGAAGTTGCCAAGGTTGTTAGATGTCCTGCAAGTGAAAGTACACACACTTGGAAACCACTGTGTTCTTGGAGGCAAACCCAGGTCCTCTGCTAGAAACCAATGTTCAACCGGGCGGCGGTGGCACACACCTTTAATCCCAGCACTTGGGAGGCAGAGGCAGGCGGATTTCTGAGTTCGAGGCCAGCATGGTCTACAGAGTGAGTTCCAGGACAGCTAGGGCTACACAGAGAAACCCTGTCTCGAAAAACCAAAACAAAAAAAGAAACCAATGCTCTTAACCACTGAGCCATCTCCCCAGCCCTATCATATACATTTCCTTGAAGGACATATGCTTTGAAATTTTGTGCTTATTTAGTTTTGGTCATTTCTTTGTGTGTGCACTGTTTTGTTTGGTTTTTTCGAGACAAAATTTCTTCTGTGTAGCCCTGCCTGTCCTGGACCTGTTTGTGTAGACCACACTGCCCTTGAACTCACAGAGATCCACCTGCCTCTGCCTCCCAGGTGCTGAGATTAAAGGCACGACACCACACACAGCTATGTGCACTAATTTTTTAAAACTAGTTTTCATATTATTGTTAGGAAACTTTTTTCTTTGCTTATGTTATTTTGATACAAGTTTTCAGTATGTAGTCCTTGCTGACCTGGAGCTCTCTATATACACTAGGCTGACCTCAAAACTTAGAGATTTACCTGCCTCTACCTCCAAGTACTCGGATTAAAGGTGTGTGCCTCTATTTGCTGTCTCTATAAGTTGATGCTCTTCTATCATACCTCGGTCCCCTGAGCACTGGGGTTATATGTGCACCAACATGCCCAGCTGTTTTCAACTCTCACAACTTCAGTGATTTGTCAAGGGCTTAAGCGTATCTTTTTGTGATTCGTGATTATTTCTCTAACCTTGAAAAGTCTAGCCGTATTCATATCTAATATGCCAATGCTCCTGACATTAGAACATAGAGATGTAACAGAAAATTATAGCTGCACAGGCTCCTGCCTATTCATGTTTCTCAGATCATAAAGGGCACTATCACAGAGGCCTTTGATATGACTCCAGACAGTGGAAGCCCTGTATTTTTGTCTTGAATGCACCAGGATTGGCCCACAGTTGAGTGTTTTCTGGGGAAGCAGCTAAATCACATTATGAATGATAGCCCTTTGTAGATGAAGCCTAGCAATAAGAGGCCTCGTGGTATATAAAGAGATAAAATAGAGCGAAAATGAATAAACTAAAATGGATCATCTCTGACTCATTTACAAGACAATAGTGGAACTTCCAGTTTCGGAGGCATTGTGTATTCAAAGGAGTAGATGAGAACTTGCTAGCATCAGCAGCGAAGTTCAGAGCTGAAGAGGAATTTGATTACATCATCTACCATCTTTAATGTAGTTTCAAACCATGTGTGCAAAAACTGATTTGCTGTTTTACTTGAGTAATACTTTATATGATATTAAAAAGTCTTCATGAGATAGAAGGTAGATTTGTCAGATAATGGTATATATATATGATATATGTCTTACACATAATGATGTCAAAACTACAGAATAACTGGCTCAGTTGGTAGAGTGCTTGCATTGCATACACCTAGCCATAGGTTTGATCCACAGTACATCACCAAACAAGCTGACACATTACTTTTCCTAAAGACCTGAGGTCAGTTCCCAGCACCCACATGGTAACTCTAAGCAATCTGTAACTTCAAGCCTCAGAGTATCTCATGCCCTCTTGAGTCCACAGAAGCACACGTACAGATAGAATACTCGCCGGGCGGTGGTGGCACACGCCTTTAATCCCAGCACTTGGGAGGCAGAGGCAGGCGGATTTCTGAGTTCAAGACCAGCCTGGTCTACAGAGTGAGTTCCAGGACAGCCAGGGCTACACAGAGAAACCCTGTCTCGAAAAACCAAAAAAAAAAAAAAAAATAGAATACTCATATAAAAGAATAGTTCCCCCAAAAAAAGATAGTATAAGATGATAGATGAACAAATAAAATTTAGGAAAGGGTCAATTATGTTCAACTCAACCAAATTCATAAACACCTAATAATACAGAAGAAAGAAATAATCAGATAATTTAGCCAAGTGTATGAGCAACCAAGGAAACTACCAGAATTACCAAATATCTTTCAGTAAATACCCTACTCATCAATAGTCTGAACACTAACTACAAGGCAAATGATAGCTGATTGGTTTTAAAACAACACCCAGTTAAGTTGTTTGTATAATTAATAGGCTCACTGGTAAAGAGATTCAAATAAAATGGTGTAAGTAGCTATGCCAAGCAAGTGGAAAGTAAAGCCAGTCAGACATAGGTATACCTGTAACTGACATGTTAGATTTTGACCCCAAATTCAAATAGATAAGGCAGGTCACAACATATATTCCCTATATTAGTATGTAAAGGAATAATCAAGAATGTAGTACTATAAATATATATGCACCAAATATTAGGATATATAATTTCATAAATGCTAGCCATGAAAAGACAACATAAGCCAGATACATTAATCATGATTTCAGTACATCACTGTTACCAAAAGATCTGCAATCCAGATTTGAAAAAATCAGGAAGAAAATGCCAAGTTAAATCATACTAGACATCAAAAGGACTTAACAGAAGTCTCCAGAATATTATATGCAACAGATGAGGAATACACATTCTTCTCAGCAGTTCATGGAACATTCTCTAAATGAAATCATGCTGTAGGCATTAAATAATGTCTTTCCAAGTACAAAAGAATCAAGATCATCTCTTATTCCTGATCATATCATAATTGACTAGAAATGGGGGTTGGAAGAATAGCTCAGAATGAAAAAGAGCACTGGCTGTTCTTTCAGAGAACCCAAGTTCAATTCCTAGTTCCCAAATGGCAGCTCACTACTATCTGAAACTCCAGTTCCAGGAGATTCAACACCTTTACACATACATGCATCCAGGCAAAACACCAGTACATATGAAATAAAACCAAAGAAATTAAGAAGTAATGGAATAAAACTGGATATCAACAGAAAAAACTACAGAAACTATACAAGGAAAAGACATTTTGACCAGTACCTTGAAGAAATCAATGGGTCGTTAAAACATTCAAGGGGGTGGGGAATAAAACTCTTGAACAAAGGAACAACTTATCAGGACATTCAACGTATACTAGACCCAGTTCTAAAGGAAAGCTGGCAGTAATGAGTGCTACATTAGTTACTTTTCTTGTTACAGTGGAAGAATACTTGCAGTACCATCGTAGGAGACTTGAGGCTTATTTTGGCTTATGTATGGTTCAGAGTTTGGAATCCTGACAGGAAAGTAGACAATACAAAGGCAACCCTTCATGCACAGACAAATTAATTAAGTTTAAAAACCGTCTACTAGAGAACTCTGAGACATGATAAACACTTTCATCAAAATACCTAGGGAGACCTTTGATCTAGGAAGATCTAAGAGAAGGGGAGTTACTGTGGTTCATAGCTGGGTGAAACCATTGATACTTTAACTCCCTCAGCAGCCTTCAAGTACCTTATGTAACTCTAAAAAGCCAGTCTGCTGGAAGGAGAATTCTTTAAATCTTGCCATCAAGGTATGTTATCTTCCGCAATAAGTGTCTTATTCACTGACTCTGATGGGTAACCAAGAGGGATGGCAGAAGCTTCTAGCTTGTAGATGCCTCTGGGTCTTCCCTGTCCAACAACTCATAAGGAGATAGCTCACTTTGGCTATTGGGATTTTTGATTAATAACTCCCAGCTTCTAGTAGGCAAGATACGCAGATGGGTTCAATACTGGCATAACTATGACAGAGTAACCAATCGCGGTGTTTGTATTATGCAACCATTCCCAGGGAATCCATATCTAGCCCTACAAATCTGGTTATAAAACCATGCTAGAAGGGATAGGCACCAGTCCTCATATGGGAACTTAATATTGCTATTTTGGAAAATAGGCATGTTATAAAATTGTTGGTTAAATATTTATATCTGTCCTCATGGATAAATGCTACCCTCCTCCTTACTTAGAGAAGCCCCTCTTCCTTGGATGGCAATGAATGAAGAGACTTGTCATTTCTCAAAATACTGACATTGTCTATTTAACCTTCAAAAACTTTTAATTTAAATTATATTTTTTTTGTGAATGGATATTTTGCCCGTAGGAATAGCTGTGTGCCGTGTATGTGCCTGTTGTTGCTAAT